CCGCATGCTTCACATGTCTATAAAAAAATCTAATGACGTCTTATGATCGTCCAATGAGAATAAATAAAAATTCATTATCATAGAAAAATAATATTTTTTAATTCTGGTATTAAATTTATAAGATGCAATGAGAACCAACAGTATAATATTCTATGAGAACTTCTTGATTAACACTTTTTAACGCCTTGACGACTGTTTTTGTGAGAATCCATCGGAATTTTTGTAGTGAAATCGTATAAAAGTCTTCTAATAAATAAATGAAGAAAGAATACTGTATGTATAAGTACCGTGGTATTTCATCCTTGTTTTGCTATTATTATCTTAATACGTATCCAATCGTTTGTAATTGTTATTATAGTTCTTTTTAATGTTTAATATGTGATATGCATTATTGTATGAATCTAATAAAAATGTTGTAACACTCAAATTTGTTCTATTATGTTCTATACAGAAGTCCATTATTCGCCCGATTGTATTGTCTCTAAAATATACAACATTTTTGTCTGTTTGCTTTACTTCCGTTTCCATATTGCATTTAAATTATTTACCCCTACATATACATCGAGTATATGACAAGTTGCTTTTATCGTGTGATCTTAATCTTGTATTATTGATCAATACTGCTTCATTATTGCTTCGCATAAAGTTATATGAAACTTCTCTTTCTTCATTAATTATTTTTTCACAAAAGTTCCATGCATTTGTTGTCTGGTAATATCGATGTATCATCTAGTAGCATATTTCGTCGTAACATCCCCGCTTAAATTATCCTATTGAAATATACAGAATCCTACAGACTTTTGAGAAGATGTCAATAGTCGACGAAAAATTCAAATAGGTTCACTCGCTAAAAAAATATCAGAAAAATTTTACTTTTTTTTAACTTTTCACTGGGAAGTTATAGTAATGGGTCCAATTTTGTGAATCCCGAATTTTAATTTTGTGTGTATGTACGTATGTGCGCATGAGCGTACGTTCGTTCGGAATTTTCCTGGTCGATTATTTCGAGAACAAAAAATGATATCGATGTGGGACCAATTGTATTCGACGCGTAATTACGTAACTTAGAACTGATTAGATCTTTAGCAAAATCGGTGTAGCCATTTTTTTGCAGAACCAAAAAACTAACAAAAATAGAAAATGACCTGAATTTCTCAATTCATAAATTATACCATTTTTTAGACAAAATTTCAAGATCATTGCAGAAATATGAATATTGAATGATTGGAATACTTGTATGGATATATGATGACAATATTTCATCGAAAAAAAAAATTTAAAAAACAAAATCAGCAATGAAAGAATTTTAAACTCGTGTCAGGATTGAGAAAACAGTATTAAAGACGCTATAATAATCAATAATAATTGTCAATAATATGGAATTGTGTTTATAACATTTGAACATTGTTACTAACAAGTGAATATTGATCATAGTAATATTTAGATAATAAGTTTTAAATTGTTATAAACAATAAAGATAGGGACCCTTTCTACATATATGAGTACTTTTAACGCATAATTTTTTCTTTTACTAAAAAAATGTTACCAACCGTATGACATAAATGAAAACATACTTTTTTCGTGTATAACAATGAAATTCGTTGTAAATAATGAAAAAAAGGATCTATAAGGTACATTCGAATTCTTCTAACGCACAATTTTTTCTTTTACTGAAATAAAGTAACTAACCATATCAAATGAATAAAAACACACTCATGTCGTTTATAACGATTCCATCGTTAATAAATATATTTTCAACATGAATATCAAGACAAAAAGTTCTGTGTCGTCTCTAAATGTAAATATGATGAATATGGAATCAACAGAAAAATCCGTAGGTTATAGATAACTTTTTTTGAGATAAATTATATTCTCATTCCGTAGATATTGTAAGGATGTAATAGGTTGTATTGTCCTTCTATCAATTTCAATATTTTTGAATGTGTTCTGACTTCGAGTCGGCCGAATGAGCAAACTGAAAACTAGTGGACTGTAATAATTAAGAGCAGAATAAGAACAAAGGTTGGATGCTAGAAGGTTCCAAAAAATAGTTTATTAACACTGAACTGCTTGGGTTTTATAGATTTTATTCAACAATAACACTTAACATACTCAATAGAATTTAATAATCACTACATATAGTTGAGTTGACTGTACCATAATTGTTTGTACACTTATGAGTTGTCTAATGGTTATTTTTTCACCAAATAACATAGTCTCAAAAAACAGTGAATAGCAACATTCACAGTATACACCAGAGTTGTTCGGGGGAGCGATGTATAGGTGAATGTCCGTGAGGCACTATGGCGTCGACGCCAGTTCAGCTTCGCGCCCAAAGACACTACAACTGAATATACTGGACCACTGGCACTGATGAGAGTAATTTGATGATTCACGTATCTTCGTGAGAGTTGTCTGAGTCTATTTGACCGTACTTGTAACTACAAAAGGTGAGCTGACTGAAAAATCTGCGATTCGACTGCGAAAAGTTATACAGAGATGACCGCGTGATTTGCCTGGAGCTAACTGACTTTGTAATTTTCTACAGAGTTGACCGCTTGATTTGCCTGGAGCTAACTGACGCCACAAGTGCTCGACCGCGTGCTTGTTGGCGTCACTAGGGCCGTAGAGTTGCCTTCTGGGCCATGAGGGAAATACTTCCCGATGATTGGTCCAGTGAGTTGACTGACGCGCCGGTGGACAAGTCCGGCATTAACAATTTTTGAATATTTCTGACTAACTGACTTGGGCCCCTCCAAGTCAGAACAGAATGAAATAAATAAGAATGTATGAATTTAATCTCTAATCATCAGATTATATACATGTATTCGTGTATATATAGATATATAGATATGTCATCTCATTCACTAGTCTAATGAGTCAAATTTACTGGTTCGATTGGTACCAATTGACTTATTCAACTAATAAAGTTTTATTCTACTGGCTCAACCGGTGAAATTCAAATTCTTTTTATTGTCTTTGCTCCGAATGACCAAGAATAGATAATCAAAATTTCGTTGTTTTCTTGTCTAAATAATTATGTCACCGCACGAGATCTTTAGTAAGACAGCAGTCAGTGTCTTGTTTGATGACTTTAATCGAACAGTAGCTTCAACCCAACTCGTATCACTAACCCGTTTGTGTAAACAACAGCCAACGTAATAAACCACCAAAGACGCAGAATTTGATCGATTTCTGACGTCCTGTTGTAACACGACGTATCTTTTGAGGATCATCCGTCTCATATCCTCTTACTATTCTGTTAGTTGAATGAGGAAATAGTCAGCTAAGAGACGATTTATAGCACTAGGGGGCGTAATTAAGTTCTTCGCCCTACTTCTAATCAAGAAGCAATGGATGAACGATTGATTACCAGAAGCTTCACTTGGCGGTTGCCTGTCTAGTTGAAAAGTCGTCACTGGGCATTGCTTGTTGTGTCGAGAGGATATCACTGTGTTTTGTGAGTCTTACAATTAATTGCAAAAAAGTGAACGTTCGTGAAGTTTAAGAGAGGATCTATTATATCATCGAGTTCATTCTTACTTTTGGAGAAGCCTTTGGTTGCCAGGAGGAAATGGTTGAAGAAAGTACTTAGTTAACCTGGATAACCAGGGGTTGGTGGTAGAGCAGATGAACGACAGCTACAAAGGGATTGATCATACTATGGTGAAACACTTCTGGAAAAAGGGGTAAAGCCAAACCCCAGAACGAAAAAAAAAAAAAAATTTTTTTGGGAAAATATGGAAAAATTGTAGAAATGGGGGATGATTACTTTTCTTTTCTGAGGTTTCGGAAGATTTATTTAACCAGGTTACAATTCTGTTACAATCTTTATTCAATCTCGAACTAAATATTATAACAACAATTAATCGTGGGAGTTATTCACCCACTTTGATACTGCAGCGCCGTTAGATGTTAACTTAAGCATCATGTGGAGTGAAAATCGGCTGTTATCCAGGATCGTTCCGGTACCATCATTGGTTCTGTAGACGACTGTTGATGTTGCGGGACTCTGACTCTAGAACAGTCAGGAATTCGCTCCCAAACATATAGATGTTAGCAACATTTTTTAACCTTGGTACTGGAGACGTCGCCCTTCTGTGAAGGGACACATTTCACTCTTCATGTGACAATAGATTATTTCTTTGATTGTTCACAATATACATATATGTGTATCATACATAATTGTTTTCACTTATTCTGGATCCAGTACATTAATTCGTATCCTTATCCTCTCCTTCCTCCATTAAACCGATAAGAGTATTCACGTATCTTGAGACCGTAGGAATCTTCTTATCCGCGCTCCTCTACCTGACAAAGAAAGCTACTACAGGTAATAAATCGTCTTCGATATCATTTATCGAAGCACGATATACCCTGTACAAGTCGAACCAGTTGTCTCAATAACACTTCTAAGTAAGTAAATGTAACGCAGTCGGTTACCATTCATCCTTACGCATTACCTAAGAAAGAAAAGGGAACGCCTCAGCTCATTATTTATGCTTGCTCATCATAATCTATTATTTCTTACTTTCAAATAGAGCGTACAGTCACGACAGAGCTTACCTGGTTTGACCATAAAACAGTTTAAATACTAAACAAGCAAGAATAAATTCATATACCTTCGATCTATTTAATAAAATTATAATTATATGAAAACTAGGATCGAATATCACAGTTGAGGAGAAATGCTATGAATACTAAATATATTAAAATCTGACGTGATTTAATAGGGAAATGATATTTTATGGATTATGCTTTAATTATGTCTTCGTCCAATGGGGTGATGTCTCATTGTATAAGCGGAAAAGAAAATAGTTTCTATAGGATTCAAATGACTCCAATGGAAAAATAATACTCAGAAATTATTTTCTTTGCTTCAACATTTCTATTAGAAAAGGTTAAATCCTGTAGGCTTTTTCTGAATTTGAATAAAAAATCATATTTAAATAGGAAAAGTTAAGAAAATTTTGCTACTTGAATAATGTCTAATACAATTATACAAATCTGAACAATTATAACAATAAGCTTGCGATTGTCTCCATTGGTTCTGATGTCATTAAATGGTTAAAGTAAGGCAGTTTGAGTGCTAATTCCTGGTCAGAAACCGCATAGCAGTGGATCGAGCAAGTTGTGTCAATTTAACTAAAACGAGATCTGCTCAAAGGCTAGTCACTCCAACATCTTAGTAAAGAAGGGAATAGCGTGATGAGTTTAAAGTCCGTAGGCGACTTCAGAGTACTGATTTGATTGATTAGGACCACCAGAGCACACTTCCAGGAATCAGGAAACGTATTTTGGTCAAAAGACTGATTAATTACAGTCACAAGTACGCTGACAATTGTTGAAAGCGCCGTAGTCACTATTTTTCCAGAAGTGCCATCGCACCCAGTTACATAGAATTTTATAGAACACACTGCTAGCTAAACCGAGTCTTTATTCACATCCCAAAAAGTCGTCTACACGGTAGATTACCTTATTGTCTCAGAAGTAGACAACAGTGCAATATAGAATTAAATATTAATTGTGAATAAATATACAACAAATAAATGGTGACTTTTTATTACAGATGATAAATCCAGATACATTGAATCACTTAAGTGACTTTGCAGACAAGAAAATCGACGGTGTAACGAAAGCGAACTATTTTTGGATTCAGCATCTCGTTCAAAGGATGAATGCTACGTACGTACCACACATAAAATTGATCACATTATGATTACTCCGCTGATGATACATAACTTTTTCATCGTAATATTTTAGAATGACTCTTACCTGGGAAAATACGTGGGGATATCAAGATCAAAATGGTACGTGGAATGGTATGATCGGCTTACTAGATCGAGGTCAAATTGATTTTGGAGGCACAGCAACATTTTTAATTCCTCAAAGACTTGGAGTGATCGATTACATTCAGCTGTATACACCAGTGTGGTAATACTTTATTAAATTCTTATTGATTTTACTGCATAAATCTTGAGTCAATGAAATTGAACTAAAAAAAATAGTACCTAAACAAAGAAAAAATTAGAACTTGCAGTTCATAAAACATTTACAATTCAAACCACAGCGGATTTCGACTAAATGCATTCATGATGAACGTTACCTGTAAAAAATGAAGAGCAAGTTGAAAACCTGGTATAATAAATTCTTTGATCATTTTCAGGCGTACTTTAGAAACAGCAATATCTGTGTTTGAAAAACTTCTCTCTTTACTTTTTCTACTTTTGAAAGAGTTGAGTAGAAAATTTTTACCTGTAGCTGCAAAAAATTTTTTTTACCATACAATGTAATGTAGATGGATCCTACTTAAACTGCGATTATCGAATGTCAATGAGACGTCACACCATGTGTACGTCTCAAATGAGTCTGTAAATAAACAAATTCTCCTTTTTTTATAATTATTTGGAAGAATTGAAAAACAGCAAAAATAATTAAGATTAAATGGAATTTAATGTCATCTGTCAAATTAAGTAATTTTTTTTTATTAATTTCGACGGATTTTTCATCCTATATATCATATTATTACTAGAATAAGCCGGAATTGGCGCAACTCTATGATTTAAAACATTTTTTGCATGTAGAACAATTTGAAAATGTCGGACTTTCCAACAGCAATGACGTGGCGCCGTTTCTTTTACAGATATGAGACGATAGCTGATTTTCTCTACACGTACTTATATTCATCGTGGTCCGTTAAGAACTCCGCTGTCTCTCTTACGGCATTTTAATTGAGCAAATTTGAATATTCACTGAATTAGCAACCGGGGCTAGGGGATATATTTTAGATGTTTACCCTTTTTTTTATTAAGTTTTCATGTCAGATTGAATAGTAATGAAATCGCGAAATTGACATGGTGACTTTATTGTATACGAAAAATCAATAAATATCAAAAAATGTTTTTTCTTCAAATTTATTTCCATCCGTTAGTATCCTTAATTAAATCAAAGCTCGCGTTTACGGTAAAACGACTCAAATTTTCCGTGATTTTCTCGAGGTCGATTATTTATTTTAATTTCTATTAGTATTGAATAGAGTCGTTTATTCAAATTTATTTCTCGTTTTCAGCAATGATTACATCAAGGCAAGTTGATTCAAAAAGAGTTGATCGAAGTCGAAGTGATACCAATCTTTCCACCGGGGCAAAGAAATTAAGTCTGACAAAAAGTATAGCCGTAGTCCACATCAACGTAAGATTCACGGATGTTGCCCTAAGTTTGTCGTTCACGAACACTCGGCATCGTTAAGGCTGGGCTGAAGTCAGAAATTTTCCCGAAGTTGACTTTACGCCCTCGCGTTGTGCGGTAGAAGGCCGACGCTCGATTTCAATTAAAATTGGGTAGGTAACAGAGAAATCGTTCAAAAAATGATAATTTTCAGGGATGCATTAAAAAAGAGAAGCCTTAGGACAGCACAAAATTCACAAATTTTTGAATCATCTGTTCCGAGCAAGACAGAGAACAAAATGTATACATCCATCTCCGTCTCATTTTTCAGAGAAAAGACTGCGAGTTCGGGCAGTTGACAAGCACGCTCAGCCCCCACCCTCTGTTACCAAGCCTGAAGCTTATGATATCTAAACGTAAACAAAGCAAATGGAAATATACTAAATTCGTAGTCAGAGCGTTCAACATTTATTTTACCGAACGGTGTTCAATTTCAATTACGGAAAAATTTTCTTTTTCATTTAAATTGCACGTAATTGAAATTTTATCATGCAAAAAATGAGTTTTAAATTTTAATTTTTATGTAAAATTATTTTTTCATCAATCGATGACAAATGAAAAAATATTTGAACAGGGCCATAATCCTTTTTTTTACAGATACAGAATTTTTTTTTTTTTTTTCGTTTAAGTGACTTTATGTGCTCATAAATTAATTCGTATATTTCATTAAATTATTCTTCAATTAATTTCGAAAAAAAAAAAAATTACTCTTTTGAAAATAAGCTGAGGGTGAGAAACGAGTTACTATGGATTCTCTTTTTTAGAAAATGTTGTCTTCAAAAAACAATAGGAATTGATTGTGAACTTATATAAACAACCAATTCATATGTTTTTCGACTCGGCGTTGATCAATTACATAAATAATTGGGGAAAAAAAATCAAATCATTAGTAAGAATTCATTTTGGCATGTTAATGTTATAATTACATGCAAATCTAACAAATAGAAAAGAAACAAAAACTTTACCATGACTGGAATCGAACCATGCCCATCAAAATAAAAGACTGATGCTCTAACCACCGAGCTATCATACTTACAATCCGCTGATTTATGCTTGTAAATTAGAAGCTGCAGGCTTGGGCACAGACAGTGAGGGTAAAGCTTGCCGGCGAAGTGCCGGAACTCACCACGTATTGTTTAAAGTACTTTTCAATGTTTATAATAATATGTTAATAACATAACATTGTGAATACATGTAAAGATGTATAAGTCGTAAACACAGGCTATTTTCAATGTATTTATACAAAAAAAAGGTTTATGGCTCTGTTCAAATATTTTTCGACTTAGCGTCAATAAATTCAATGAGTATAGAGATAAAAAAATCAAATTGTTACAAAGAATGAATTATGGCATGTCAATATTACAATTACATACTAATCTAACAAATAAAGTAGAAAAAAAAGTGGTTATTACTGGGATCGAACCCTGCCTGGTAAAGTAGAACTATGACGCTCTAAGCACATGGCCAGCATAATCTCAATATTGAGTTGATGTGTATTTGTTTTTACACTACATGCTTGGATACGCTGACTTGGAATTGAGCTTCCTTATTAACATTTGTATCTAATAAAAATGATAATAATGGATGAATGTATGTATTAACTTCCCAGTGGGACGTTATAGTAATGGGTCCGATTTTGCGAATCGCTAATTTTGACATATCTCCACGTTTTAAGGTCCCCAGAGTTGAATACGACAGTTTTTACGTGGACGTCTGTGTGTGTGTGTATTGTTACGCCGTGACTACCTCACACCATACGTGTATTTAATTTTTGCTGACTGTAATATTATTACGCCTGTGTCTCGAGACTCATGGCAACTCTCTTACTTATTTTTCTCAAGCGCAGTAACACATTAGTAGCACTACTTTTGTATTTTGATATTTTTTCATTTTTGTTATTCAGTCAGTCGACAGGAAACTATCATTGAAGTAGAAACAGAAATAAATAAAGTTTTCTCAATTCATGTGAAGAATAAGAATCAGAATATTGTTAATAAGTTTAGAATATTCAGTAATAAATAGAAGTGATTAATTAACTGTACTGTTGTTAACTATAATTTTAGTGCTAAACATTTAAGTGTAATTAATATTAAAAGTGACAATAAATTTGTGATCACTTAAAATAAATTTTTGTGTATTTAAATTGACTGAAATCCTGGAATTTATCCACGGCATAACAAAATTGGTGGCAGCGGTAGTATCTCAAATCAGTTCGAAATTTGAATGCTTGGATTGATAAAGGATAAAATGATAATAACAACACTTCTGTAAGTACAATTACTTATATATGGAAACACATATGACGGATAACGCATTTTCGGAATACAGAGAAAATAATAACGATTATTTCAATAGGGACGATTCTAACGAGTCTACGGAAGATTTAAACGAATATCGAAAAATTCAAGTAACAGAAAACACGATGGAAGCTCGAATTACAGATCTCGTAAATTCAGTACAAGCATTACAGAATTAATTAACTACATTACATTCAATAATAGAAAATATAAATGCACCGGCTAACAATCACACGTCAAATCACGATACAGTCGATCACGCATCTACAACGCAAGACAGCGTCGCGACGGCAACTGATATAAAAAATCTTAAACAACAACTCGAATTAATTACGGAATTCGAAGGCAATAACATAGCAGTTGAAACATTTATTTTCGAAATAGAATCTATTATTGATGATTTGCCGGAGGAGCAAAGAAATACATTTGTTCGATTGATCATTTCAAAAAAGATTATTAAGGGCGCACGGAAAGCTATCGACGGGCACGATATTCGATCGTCAGATGATCTATATCAAGTTTTACGTAACAATTTTGGCGAGTGTAAATCTTACGATATCGCTATTCTTGAGAGAAGCCAATGTCAACAAGGATCAGAAAAAGTAACCCTTTACAATAAACGATTCACTGAATGTCATCTTAATATTAAGAGAGCAATAAATAGTAATGTTGATTATGATAAAAGAGATCGCGCCGTTATATCAGCAAATGATGAAAAACAAGGACTGATACAGTACATTCGTGGTTTAAAGCCGAGTGTCAGATTATTTGTCAAAGCTGGAAAACCTACAACTATTCGAGAAGCTCAAAATTTAGCATTAGAAACAGAGAAAGAAGAAGAAATATCGCGCGTGGTTTATAAAAATTCGAATCACGAAAACAAAAAACCTATTAACAAAAATTTGAATAGAAACCCGAACAGCATCGATAATGAAACGCAGAAAAATCTGGCGCAAACAAAAAAGCGATTTCCATGTCATGGATGTGGCAGTTTAGACCATTTTATTCGAGACTGCCCACAAAAACCTACTAATGCAAATTTTCCGTCGCGCCGACAACCAACCGTGCCCGATCCCATCAAATACACAGAATGTCAAGGAACTCAAGAAACCCAGGAGCAACCTTTATGCTCAGAATCAACAGCCAATTCGGACAGCGATACTATTCGTTCTTGGCAGACACAGGAGCAGCCGTCAACGTCATCAAATTAAAGTGTACTGTCGGACTACCAGTCAGGAAAACCTGGGCGCAGCTAACGGGTATCAATGCTACGCCTGTGAATTGTACTCAGGAATGTAAAATTGAAATAGATAACGTTGAACACATTTTTCTCGTAGTTCCTAACGAGTTCCCCCTGGAAGAAGACGGTATTGCTGGTCGTCCATTTCTTGAGAAAGAAGATGTTATAAT